GGGTCCAGAGAAGGGCCACTCATATGGTTAAGGGCTTGCAGGCCAAGCCCTAAGAGGAGAGACTAGGGCACCTGGACCTCTTCAGCCCCCGCAAGAGAAGGTTGAGAGGCGACCTTGTGGCTGCCTATAAATTCATCATGGGGGCGCAGAAGGGAATTGGTGAGGCTCTGCTCACCAAGGCGCCCCTGGGGGTTACAAGAAATAATGGCCATAAGCTAGCAGAGAGCAGATTTAGACTGGACATTAGGAGGAACTTCTTCATAGTTAGAGTGGCCAAAATCTGGAATGGGCTCCTAAGGGAGGTGGTGCTCTCCCCTATCCTGGAGGTCTTCAAGAGGAGGTTAAATAGGCATCTGGCTGTGGTCATCTGAACCCAGCACACTTTCCTGCCTATGCAGAGGGTTTGACTTGATGATCTATTGGGGTCCCTTCCGACCCTAACATCTATGAATCTATGAATCTATGACAAAGTAACAGAAAACCAGAATGTCCTCTATGGTGGCCACCCTAACATGGTGCCACTGGGGCAGTGATTTCCAACTGGGGTATTACAGCACCCAGGGGAACCTTGCGATCTTCTCCAGGGTGCTGTGGGGTGCCACACAATGTTAGGCCCGTTAAGGGTGCGAGCAGGATAAACTCAGACAGCACAGCTAGGAATCTGCACACAGCCTCAAAAACCAGCTGCCCTGCTGTGGGCTTTCTGAGCTCTTTGCCAGAAGGATGGACCGGGTGTATGTCACCAAACACGGGGGCAAGCTAAGAGCTGGCATCTTTTGAGGACAGCTTGAGTCCCTGGAGGGCTGCGCTGAGAGGCGCGGCTCCAAGGCCTGGATCTAGCAGCGGGGGTAATGCGCGCTGCTGGACTGTCGGGCTCAGGAAGGGGAGCAGCTCCCCGCCCCAGGCAGAGGCGGTGGCAGAGCCGGCACCAGGGCCAGGGAGAGGTCACAGGCCCCCCGCTCTGCTGTGGGCTCTGCCACTTGCTTTGTGCCCGCCCAAGGGGGAAGCGCTGTCCTCCTATCAGCCCAGGCACTGCCCCGGGGCTGAGCCCGGTCCTCGCAGCCCTGTGCCCAGCTTGGGCCCCCCCGGCGGGAGGTGGAGCCCTGGGCCGGGTTTCCCGGAGGAAGTGAGCGCACGGGGCTGGAATGCGGGGCCGGGCCGGGCGGCTGCAGACGGCGCGGGGGAGCCGCGATGCCGCACTTCACCGTGGTGCCGGTGGACGACAAGCGCCGCGTGGACTATGCCAGCCTGGAGGGGCTGAGCTGGGTAGACTACCGGGACCCGCCGGGCGCCGCCGACCCCTATGACACAGCCAGCTCGGACGGTGAGTCCCGTCCCGCTCCCTCGGCGCCCGCCCAGGCATCCCGGGACCCGCGGCCGCCCTTTGTGTCGCCCCTGAGGAAAGCAGCTCTCGGCTTCCCCTTGCTTCCCGGCCGAGCGAGGCAGCACCGCGTGGAGCGGGCACCCGGCTCGTGCCGAGCGGGCGCGGGCTGCGAGCGGGGCTGAGGCGGCCCCGCAGGGCTGGGCGCTGCGGCGACCCGAGAGGAGCCGGAGCGGCGGAGAAGCGCCGGGACGGGGGCGTTCACTCGGCTCCTGCCCGTGTCCTGCCGAGCCGAGCGGAGCTGAATTCTCCGAGTTTTGGAAGGCAGTCGGTGCGCTACAGGCGATATCTTTTATAAGATCAGCTAGAGAGTTGCAAAAAAACAAAAACAACTTTCTTTGCAAGCTTTCCACCGCAGGCATCGGATAATGCAAAGATTGTAAACTTTCTCCCAAGTAGAAATGAAAATTCGTGTTCATAAGTTTCTACCTGGGAGAAAGTTTACAGTCTTTGTATGCTCCAATGCCTGCAAAAGGGCGCACGTGCCCAAAAGCTTGCAAAGAAAATATGCTGTTTGCAACTCTCTAGTTGGCCTAATAAATAAAAGATATTGCCTCTAGCTAGCACACCGGCTGCTTGTATACTTAGACCACGCAGCTACAACCTTTATCCCTGAGTTTTGAAATGCTCCTTTCTGCTGTTGGCAAGCTTGAGGCCTGCAAAGTGCCCGCTACTGGGAGGTTGGTGCTTCGAAAAAATCTTGCCTAAGGGCTGTTGTTCTTAGTCCTAGTCTTTAAAGGAGTGGTATGAAGAGAGATCAAGACAGATGACACATGCATTTCTGGTCATAGTGGTTTTTCTTTGTTCTGCATCTGTTTGCAGACACAAGGCAGGCATGGTGTCTAAGTTCTTCACACTCAGTCACTTTGACAACACATTTGTCTTGGCTGATCTGAGTCGCACTTTTTAATTGAGAAAAAAGTCATTTTAGTAACAGTTCTTCTGATGGCCCTACAGTTAAAACAAAACCAAAGAGAAACCTAGACAAGTATCTAATATCTGAATCACTTGTTGACAGTTTGAGTTAGGCTTCAAAACACAGTGAAGTAGCATATATTGGTTGTTCCTGGATGTGGCAGGATATTGTGATTTGTGAATGCAAGCTGTTTTTAAAAATGTGACAACTGATAAGAAAAAGGGGGAGGTTTGTGCAAATATTTGAAGTCCTCTCTTAATTAAATAAACTCATGATAGTGAAACAACACTAAGCAATATAATCATAGGTTGCTGTTTGATTTTTTTTTTTTCCTCAGTGAGTTCTTATGCTTTTGGTCTGCAGTTCTGACAGCTATGTTTTGTATAAAAACTTGAGCTTAAATAATTTAGCCAATACTTTACTAAATCATTTATCATTGCACATGGGCTGTTTTTACATTTCTTTTATGAATATCTGCTTCTTGGTAGGTTTTAATGTATTTAATGTAAAAGGATCATGTGGGGAGAAAAACTTTTTTAATGGAGACGACTGTTCAGCTGGTGACTCATGTCAGTGCTCAGCCTCCGGGTGTTCTACCATTATTTTAATTAAAAAGTAGAATTAAAAGCATACACACAGTGTTTCAAGTGATCAATGCCAGAGATTCATGAAGAAGAGTAGTTCAGGAATAAAGTCGGCATTCCAGAATTATTCTGAAATAGTTGTAGCTGCAAGTGTTGTATTTTCTTTCCCTGCTATAGCTGTGCTGGTCAAGTTTTGCTTCTAAACAACTCCTTTATTGTGTCAGTTTAGCCCTAAGGAGAAAAATCTTTTCACAAGCATAGTAGGGGTATCTTCTTTCAAAAACTTTCCATGATACAAGAAGAACTTACAGAATTTTAGGCTTTATAAGACTATGTTAATGAGCCATTCTTGCCCACAGGGTTAAGCTTTTAAGAACTAGACATATCCGACCACAAGGCCTTCAAGGGGTGGCTTCCAACTAGGAACGCTGCGCTCTTGAAAGGCCATTGCAACCATTCTCAGTCATTGACCCTCACTGTAAGGGGGAAAGGATAATCTTGTAGTTTGGATGGAAGCATAATTTGCAAAATCTGGGTTCAGTACTGGGTTCAGATAGAGGCTTCCTGGTTAATCATGGCTGAATTACTCTATACCTTAGTATCACATTTGCAAAACTTTTCTTCTCTTCCCTCAGTCCTTCATCCAATTCTCTACTGGATTTTAATTTTTAGTTTCTCTTGCTCAGTGGCTTGCTCAGTGTGGGGTAGCATCTAGTTGATAAATTATTGCAGTCCTGAAAAGGCCTTTTGGATTGAAGAAAGGGTAAGTGCTGTTTAGAGCTTATCCTTCTGCATAACACAAACTTAAGTAAGTAGCCCCTAATGGCTGTTAGCACTTTAGGATTGGAGGTTGAAAAGGTGTGCTCTCATGTGAGCCCATGTATGGTGGCTAGTATATAAAAATGTAGAAAATGGATCTTTTGTTTTAATCTGATTTAGGAGGTTGAAGTAAAAATTGTAGGAAAGTTCAGATCCTAACTTCTTCCCATGATGGACCAACCCATCAGCTTCTGATCCCTTTTGTGCAGGGATTAGGAAGGATCACTGGTACTGCTATAAATTACTGTAATTTGATCATCCTGGGTAGGAGTGCAGGTGGCCTAGTTTTTGTCCTATTAAACTACCACTAAAGTCAATGAATGGGTTTATACCACAGATAGAAGGAGTACATGACTTTCAAAGTGGCTGTGAAAGCAACATTGCTTATAAAATATCTAACTCTCTCTTCCATGATATCAGATAGCTGATGTGTGCTGGCCTTGTTTGTTTGTGCTACCTTTCAGACTGTAGCACAAATTTTTGCAGCCACCTGTATTGCTTTACTTTGAGGCTGACACAACTCTGGTAACTGAGTTGTGTTTTTTTGGTTGAGCTGTACCTTTCTTTACACTAATTATGCAGGTTGGTTTACAGGAGCATAAAGATAAAGATAAAGGGCTTTGCTACCCCTGATGACCCATAAGCTCCTTTCCTGTGCACCCACAGCAGGCAGAAGGCTTCAAGGAAGGCAGGCTTTTCTTTTCCACCCTGGCAATTAAGGCCTGGGAAGTAAAGATCCACTTTTCTCACTGGTCTCCTGATAAGTTTCATGACTTCCTGATTGCTGAGAGCAGAGTGCTCAACCCCTGGCCTGTGGGCCAGATGAGTTTGTTGAGCCATGTCATCCAGCATACAGGGGTCCCCACAGGTCTGAAAACTTGGCAGCAGGAGAGCAGTGGCAGCAATTGCTGCTCCCTTGCTGCCAAATTTCTGTATGTCTGGGGAGACCTGCAGGCCAGATAACAGATTGCTAGATTGGCAAGGGGGGGTGGCCCAGATCTGATCTGGTCA